GATTAGTGAAATCAGCTGGTGGGACGTTTGGCTGGAGCAAAACCCTGCAGACTATCAACAGCACATGACCGGACACGACTCTCTTCAAGGGAATAATTGTCCTCTGTAACCCAAGTTAAATGATAAATGAACTATGTATGAAAAAGATGTGAAACGGTTCCTTTCCTCGTCATAAACAAAAGATGCAATACCGTCCCTAAAAGTACACAGCAGACCATTTTTTTTCATCCCTAATTTCATTCATCATCAGCTTTAACCTTGAAGCTGATACATTGCTGAAGCCATTATATGACTTTCTATTTAACTTGTCTTTGAGCTCCATACAGTATATGCGCTCTTCCTTTCAGTTCCTCAATCATTTTTTTCATAAGATAATTAGAAATATACATTCATCACCTTAGAGAGAAACGTTTCTGAAAAACAGGTTATTGTCCTACGACATGCTATGAGAGTAATGAGGTATCGAAATTGATATCGCAAGTGCAATTTTAAGATGGTAACTGTCAATTTATTTAACGTTAAAAGCTTGGTTGGGAAATTGATTAAGAAGCAATAAGGGTTAGGGTTATATTTGCTTTCATGTGTTTTGGGGGAGTGGCTTTGGAGGGAGGCCTGAAGGGATGGGCTGTTATTTTTTCAGTTAGATCATTTCAAAATCTAGCTTACTCTTGCTGATCTCTAGCTTTAATTGTGTGAGTTAGGACTGGGCGATAATTCAGTTTTACAATTAATCTTTCAATGGAATCATATCGTGATGAAATCATATATCGAGCTCTCATGATACACAATGGCGTCATCTAACTGTTAATAACAAGCACATTCTAACTAATATTTCTCAAATCACTAACGCCAAGCGTAACACCTTAAAAGCTCTGAAATGAGACCTCCAGGGTTCAGGGCTAAGCAGCTTGTAGCCTCAGTCTGCAACGCTAATGCTAACATTAGCTTAAGCATCTACAAGGTGATTTATTTACTCACCAGTTAGTTATTGTTCCCATAAGTGGCCAACCATGCAGCTATTATCAATAACTATAATGCTACATTTGAATCCCCTGATTATATTTAATATTAATTTGTTGTTATTAATGTCAAGTATACCTCCAAAACGATATTTCAATAATTTATCAATGCTTCTCTAGAAAACTAGGCAGGTTTACTGACAAGTTGACTTTTCTCTGACTTGTCCATAACAACAAGCAACATTACTATTTACAAACATATAAATACATGAATATATTCAGACATATTTATGTGGACATGAGTTAAGTCTCTGATCGTGCTTGGTACAATCATATAGTTTCATTCTAAATGAATTACAATTACAGGCCTGTAGTTTAATTTATAGAAAATAAACACAATCTAAATTACAATTGCAATATTGGTCGGAAAAATTGCAGGTTGATGAAATCTGACTGATAACAGCAGACAGATATCTATAACACGGTGCACTGTTTCAATACAAGCTGCAAATCAACAAGCTATAAATTGTGTGTCCAAAAGTGAAGAGCTATATGAGCAAAACTAACTGAATTTGGAGCCTACAATAAATGGAGACCTTATAAATGAGATAATATATAGTGCACATATATGGAGAATGCCGACTGCCAGAGGGGAGAGGTGGAGGAAGGCAGTGTAATAGAGTTTTTAAACCAGTGAGGATGGCTGGTCAGCTCTGATAACAACGCCTCTCCGACAGCAGATGTATCCGTCTCCTCGCTCTGCCTCATCCTTTCACAGACGCAGATGAATCTCGGGTCGATGTCAATGACGCACACGCACTCGTGTGCAGCCGGTCCGCGGTGTGCGCCCGGGGGCCAGGCAGGGGTGAGAGGTGACAGATACGAAAGGGCAGAAAATATGACATTGCCCTCCATAGCCGACTGGTACAGGGTGACAAAGATACAGATGGAGGTCCGTGTGTTTCACTGTATGGATTAGCTCTGTTAAGGTCATTACATTGAGCCTGCTGCTACAGTATGTGCCAACTGACCTGGCCATAACCTTCCTTAGACTTGAGGTCCCATCAAACTTTAGAGTCCATTCAGAATGTCTATGTAAGGATCTGCTGTGCTAGTAGCTAATAAAACAGCCAATCAATTGACTCAGTAGCTTGTTGCAACGTGATGTACAAACACGCAGATGGAGCTGGATCCGAGCCATTTTTAAAAGTTACCTTCATTGTATGTGTAAGGCTGGACAACACGGGAGACATTTACAAATGAAAAAAGAAGAAAAGCTGAGGAGAGAGCGGGATTTGCAAGATCAGCATGCAACACATGGTGAGGAAAGAAATAGCATATTTCAACACTCTATTTCAGTACTGTCAGAGAATTTCTGTATAACTCAGCTGGAAGCTAAAGTCCCATTTTCTGCATATCTGAGAGACACAGTCTGTATCATTGCTGAGGTGAGCTACTGAGCGAATGTTTGTGTGCTCAGTGCTTAGTGAACAAGAACGAACACCTTACACAGAGGGTTGAATAGGGACCTTTTAGCAGCTCTCACATACCGGTATACCAATCACTGAACTTAAAGGCAAATTCCACAGATTTTACATATCAAAGTCTGTTTACAGGTCTTGGGGAGTACTACTGTATATGTGAAAACAAATGTATAAAGCCTATATTCATCTTTTTGTTCCTGATTTTTACCTATTAAGCTTTACTGTTGATGTTACTTTTAATCAATACTGCAGCTACGGTAGCAATATCTATAACACGTCTGATCTGTTGACCTTATTGAAGAAATTACAAATTACAGCACAGAACAAGGTGAACCAAGAAGTTACATTGCCATAAGCTGCTTTTTAAGCTTGATCAAGTCTTTAATGGATTTTCCCTTAAGGCCACTCCACTCCACTATAATGGATATTGCAGCAGACCCATAACTTTTCAAGATAATGAATCTGCCTTTCAGAACACGAGGCACACTTGACATGCAGACACATTCTTCTTTACAAGGTCATCAGCCTGCATGGATTCATAAACAGCGAAAGAATTTAGGATTATCAATGGCCACCCGACATCTCGGATCAAATTCAAAATGAAGGAGAATGTGATAAAAATAATGGGCCATTCCTATTAAGACCTCACTGCATTTTATCTTTTTTTCTTCCCCAAGACTATTTTCTCTTTCATGGGAGCGGTAGTCTCTAATTTCTCCTGGGAGTCACAAGCTGCAGCTATCTCAGCTGTGTTTACTAATCTTCCCTCGACACCAGTTTCTCAGCCCCACAAAGTTAATACTGTTCCAATGTAAATAGCCTTATCTCATAAACTCTTGTCCTCCCCCCCCCCCATGGCTGCCCAATGTGATACATGGTTAGAAGTCAACCCAGGGATTAAGCCAGAGAGATGGGGAATAACTAAGATTTCCGCTTTGCGGCTGTATGCCTCTGCCGACCAGTCAAGTCGCAGTTTACATCCATGGCTTTCCAAAATGTCATAACGTCAGTATTTTATCCTCGCAGACATTTGTGTGAAATTGTCAGAATTACCATAGGAGTTATTGACGTCACAGTGACAATTTGACCACCAGACTCTAATCAGTTCAACCAAGTAGACATTTGTGACTGCTGTCACTTTACAATGAACATGGGTAATACACTGCTTTTAGTGCGGGGCTGAAGGATGAGCAGATAATAATTCAAACGTAATTTGTCTGGTGGTTCTCCGAACTGATCGATCGAGAGTTGATGCCCGGAGCCTCTCTCGCCTTCTTGCCATGTGCAGATTACAGTACCTGCCTCATTCCACTTGTGTTAGTCTGTTCCACTGAAGGCCCTCAATCACTGTAAATGCCATGGCAGCAAGTTTTAATTAAACCCAAAGGGAAAAGTATTAATTATCCCATCGCCTGCCATGAATTGGCTGGTGGCTGCAGGCAGATTCTCCCTCGAATGATGATGTGGATGTGGAGTTTTAAGAGTTTAGGATTAAATTTGGGATTTATCAAGTTCACAATTCTATTTTGATATAGAAGCCTGAGGGCATGAACAAATTTTTGTCCTATAAATCAAAATCACAACCATGCAGCTTTTAAAAATAACACCATTTATACCTGTTCAAAGGCTAATCATGTCGATACCTTTTTTTTTTTTATTGTAGGCCTTAGGAGTATTTCCTAAAGCCTACAATTATTTATTTTAAGATGATCTCCAGTTTCTGATTGTAATCTGTACATCTGCTCCTCTTAGTTTATCTATCTTTATATCTGCCACATTAAATGTCAGTCCTTTCTTACACACTTTACTGCCGCCACTGAACATGCAAGTTCTTTCTCTCCCTTTTTAAATGCATGTTTTGTCATGTCAAGAATTGGCAGAATCCTCATTACCATATCATAGATTGATTGATTGGTTATACCCGAGGGACGCAAGTTTCCACAGTAGAAGTATTTTCAGCAGAAAACCCGCTGCTGCCACTGATATTTCTGCTGAGAAGCTGAAACAGCACTCTTCTCTTTGTCAGATCCCTGTAGGTATTTGTTAATGCAGAGATGGAGCAGCGCCTTATAAACTATGCATGCCATCTCCCTCTGGCAACCACCAGTAGAGAGCATGATGGCAGGAAAATGCTAGTTTCTATTAGTCCTGTGAGGCTGGTTAACATAAAATTATCCTTGGGGTTAGCAGAAAGCAGACAAGATTGGGCTGAGTGTTTCATTAAAGCTGGAGCATAATGGACAATGGACAACTAAAAAGGCTGATTTGCATACAGTCAAACTTTTCTGATATGTTCGCCTCATAAACAAAAGTATTTTTTATTTCTCAGACAATATAATAAGAAACCAAAGCACAGACCAACTGCTGGCATGTCTCAAAAAATAGCCCCTAGTATTGTGCCCCATGAACTCGTACTTGATGTGTTTTTAGATTTATAGTGAGCGCCTGGTCTGCTCTGTCTAATCGGTATGCCTACAGACATCTGATCTAACTACACAAGATGGCTGCAGCCTGAAAAACAGTCAAGTACAGAACTGTAGAAGAGAGGACCACTCACCTCGCAGGAGGTCAGGGCTGGCATAAGGTGAACTGTACGTCCGAAAGAGCAGCCAATCAAAGTCATCGTCCTCCCCCTGGGTGAAGTCACACAGACTGGGGTCTGAATCCTCTTCAAACGTACAGCCAGCTGCTGAAAATAAAGAGGAAAATTGAAACAGTGGCCATCAATGAGAGAAACAGCATGGGTTTTTTCGGTTTCAAAGAGATAGCTTTACCTCACACATGACTGAGACACATTCAGGACAGAAATAAAGTAGGGGTGCAATCACTTTTCTATTTTCATTCAAATTGCTCATTTTGTCCGACCGTCAGTCCCAGACCCCCCCCCCCCCCCCCCCCCCCCCCTTAAAACAGCAAGAATGTTGGAATGCATGCTTGAAAATGGTAAAATGAATCGGTTATCACAATTTCTTAAATATAACAGAGCCTTGGTGCTTCATTTCTTTCATTTCCTCTGAACCTCCTCCTCCTCTTATGGAAACTGGAATAAAAGTCATACAACCAAGATGTCTTCTTTTCTGCACTAAATGTACACTTGATCCACTGACAATGAAATGTGCGGCCTGCAGCCACACTGACCACCTCGCTGCCCTTTCAGACTAAAGCAAGGACCTGTGTTTACTATTGATGTGAACATTTCAACCCAACTGAGCCAACCCCGCTTTGCAATGCTGCTGCCACCAGTGTTTGAAACAGAGCTGGTGCTGCTCAGCTCTGGTATCAAAGGCCGCACAAGGGTCACTATAATAAATATAGTGTTACAGATTATTATAGTAACCTGAGTGTAGTCACTGACTAGTAGGCAATGTGTGGCCCTCCAAGACAAATATTCCACTCTTTGCACTTGTGAAGATGAGTATGAGTTTGAATGGTCAATATCAGCCTGAATGCGACTCTATTGCCCCATATCATACACACAGGATTGTGTGTCAATGTGTCCACATGTGCACACATGCTCTCAGAACAACTACAAACCAGGCAATGAGCTATAATTACTTCAGACTCACACAAAGGAACAAAATCCCTGGCAAAAGCAATAATTGCCCCTGCATCTGAGCAGAATAACCCCTCTCATAAAGCATCCACAAACAAGACTACATATCCCAAAGCCCATGCACACAGGCATACAAATAGTAATAACATTTGAGGAAAGCAGGCACCCTGGGGAATGTAGTGATTATCATAATACCTCACAACCTGCTATTCCACGCGCCAAAAAGCTAATTTTTTCAAATTATATTTAATAGCTATGGCTTTAATGGTCCTTGGGTCCTGAATAATGTGCTTCAGTTCTGCATCTGTTGCCATATTTCACATTAATCCGCCGGTGTGAGAATTACAGTCTAAGAGCGGGCATTTTGAACTGCGCAGTCATAAGACCAGAGCCTGCGTCAGTAATAATTGGAGTAGGAGAGCACGAGACGCGACATGCTAATGATAGGCATAACTATGAAAAGCTCCTGAAGGTGACCCATGTGGTCTGCAGCTTTATTGCTGCTCATTCTTTTCTCTAATCTGCCATTAAACAAATGGTCTCAATATGACAGGCTGCAGAGAAAAACGCCTGCTAAACTGTAGCGGGGATACATAATTCTCTTTTTTACTACCATTGTACAAGATAGCCACAGCTTCCGGTCATTAACAGGTCATTGCGATGGCTGGTTTGGTATGTTATGGGCCAAATTAAAATGGAGGACGCAATTAAGACGATGATAGAGCTGCGTGCTGTTTGAGAATTTTCGATGCCAAAATGTGGGTTTTGGCATCAATACCATTTATCGTTGCATTGTTTGCAAAATACAATCATGTCTTTCAGCAAAGAAACTAAAAAACAAAACAAAACAATTCAATAAAATGTCATCTTTTTCAATGCATCAGTCTTTAAAGCTGTCCTTTAAAAAGGAACAGCTATAAAAAATAAATACATAAAAGTATCCCTGTTTGCTAACGTAATAGAGAAAATATCTGACTCAAGAATTGCTGTAGGACCAAGCATTTGATGCCACCTTTTGTATTTGATAGATTCAACAGAACATATTCAAGGATTTTTTGGGATGTTTTTTCCCGAGCTCCGTGCCATGTGTGCGTAATGTATCTCGTAGCAGACACATAAAAATGGCAGACACAGCACAAACAACCCACAAATATAGCAAGGCAAATCACAAAGCAGACAAAACTCGTTCTACAATGAGTGTGAATCGGGAGTTTGTTTTAACTCTGCGGCCGAGCACCATAACACCAACCACAACCAGGGCACATGCGCTGCTAGTGTGGTGGAGCCGGGGAGGAGGGTCCAACTTTGAATGTTGCGTTAACAAGCCGAAACCGAAAAATTCTACTCATTATGCCTTTAAGTTTACTCATTATGCCATTATGCTTGTTAGTTTTTAGGGCTTTTATTGTGAAGCAGCTAAGGAACTTCCTTTACTAACTAGAATTACCGCTTTGCGGTTGTATGCCTCCGCCAACCAGTCGTGTTGCTGTTTACATCCGTGTCTTTTCAAAATGTCATCACTTCATCATTTTATAGTATTTGACATTTGTGTGAAACTGCCATAATTAGCATATGAATTAATCAGTTATTGCAAAAAAATGTGTTTTGTGAGGTCACAGTTACCTTTGACCTACAGATTCTAATCAACCTTAATCATCCAGCAAACAAAATACCTGACAAATACAGATGCTTCGTCACATGAGTGCAAAAAACTATATAAGAATACAATATTACCATGAATCATTCCCGTTCAATGATCAGAAACATTGCAATACAACCAGAGATATTACAGCAAAGCCCCTCATGGTAATAATGTAACAGCAAAATATATTTTTCTTTTATAGTCTCACACTGATTATCATCATATCATCCAACCCTACATTCTGTATCAAATAAGTGGAGAAGTAAATGCAGTAAACATAGAAGAATATGCACAGAATGTGCCATAATCTGCTCTGTGTCCACTTTAGAAAGTCTGTACTGGCAAATTGACCGTTGTGAGCCGAGTCCTTCATGAAATAAAGTAGCATGATGAGTAAAGTGCTGCTATTCAGTCACAATCGGTCAATCAATGATTGAACTGGTGTTTCTGCAAAAGATCTTTCTGCAGTTTTAAGCCAAGACATTATTTACCTTCTTTTCACTGTAGAGTTTCATGTACTGTAGCTCTAAGTCACTCCATGCACTCTACCCGCTGCAAACACCTTCCACAAACTCTGCAAGTTACCACCACGACTCTGATGTGAATGTTTTTCCACTGTAAGTGGCTTGGACTACACAGTACGTAGCATCTGAAAATGTTTAGAGTTAGAGGGGTATTGGGCATTCTAGCTCATGCTGCATATCTGTTTGTTTGCAAGTTTCAGGCATTAATTCAATTGAATATACGCAGGTCCCATCACAGTGTGGTTTTGATGTTAAATAGAATGTATTTTAATGCACAAGCACAGTGCAAAAATTAAGTCAAGTCGCAGTGACCTTTGACCTACAGATTCTATTCAGTTTGTCCTCGAGTACAGGCAGATCTTTGTGCCAAATTGAAAGAAATTCTTTCTATGCATTCCTCTGACATCCCCAGGTGAACTGACGGACGGATGACCTGAAAACACAACTCCTCTGGCGGCGTTAAAATTGGATATGGATATACTGTATATGCCGCTATTTGATGAGTGAATTTGTAGGAAGAAATGGCAACAGAAGAAGCAGGAATATTGAGCTCGTTATACGAGGAGCTGAAGACGATCTTGCTGGGTGCTCTTTGAGACAACCATTTTCTCCGATTGAAAAGTCATTTGCGTCTTGCAAGAAAGCAGCATGAGATACCAAAATAGTTGTTGCTGTTTGGTTCATAGGGTTACAGGTGCTATAAGGTGTTGTACTTTCTCCAGATGGTGTATTCACTACAGCACTAACACACTCAGGGTGCCCTTGCCTACAGCCAACACATTACATCACGCATGCACCTCCGGTGATTATACGATAACATTGGAGCATATCTACCGTCGTGTAAGCTCAGTCCATTGGGTGATAGTAGCAGCCAACCAGCAGGGGAAGGACTGTGGGTTTCTCCCTCTGGGTTTGATTTATAGCCCCGTGCTGGGCTGTTACTGCACAGATCTGCTGCTGAGGCCAGGGGTTAATTGTCCCACACTGGGGTCTATTTCTAATGGAACAGCCAGAGATATGGGACCAGACACATCCAAACGCTGGCACTATATTATTCCCTGCTGCTTCGGTAAATGAAGCCTGTAAACTCCTCCCTACAAGAGACTCATCATCCAGAAGAAGGAAGCCAGGATGCGAGGCCAGCGCTGCCCGGGAATGTCATCTCCTCGCAGCACACTGGGAGGGATCCAGCTAATCAATTATGACAAAACACACTCCCTCCTCAGCTCCTCCTGAAGGACCAATGGGTGTGTGGATTTGTCAGTGGCCATGTTTTACCTGAATAATTGCAGCATAATTTAGTGCAATGACCAGTGCAAAGTCAGACACTGCCAAGATTTTATGGCTGAGGTTAAGACATGTTTCACAGTTAGCAGTTAGCGAACTGGGAATATCTGCTGTTTGCTGATATAAATCAACCTCCACTTTAAATGTATGGCTTTGTACATTTCATAACAATATTTATTTCTTTTGTAAATATAGTAACTCAATGTCACTGTTTTGTGCTTGGAGAAATGAATTCTGGGGAACACATTAAAGCAAATTATAAGGCCCATATGGTTAAAATGTTTGTGAGACTGCTAACCAATGCGTCTGATCTACCTGCCAGGATTGCAATCATTGTGAATATGTCAGGTATAGGCCTACAAAAACGACATGCTGTGCCTCTTCTTGGAAGTAAAACGGAAGAACTGATTAATCAAATTTTTCTCTAACGAGCCAGGAAGCAAGCTAGTTTCAAGGCTGCAGTCGAAAACATTGTTCAAAGCGCTCAGCAGGGCCATATCGGCCTGCTGCGGTGCCCTGCATGCAGTACAGCCATGCACTGTTCGCAGAAATACCTGAGAGTGGGAGGGAGCGAGATGAGAAGGGTCTAGAGATGTTGACGGGGGGGGATTTAAAGACTCGGGTGAGAGAGATTTTTGTCACTCTGTTTAAATACAAATCTCAGTGTTTTACAGTGGGCCAAC